CTTGCACCAGTTGGCGTTGACGTAAGAAGGCATAGCGTCGATAAAAACATAAAAATCTGCTTGCATTTAACTGATATCTCGCTTATTCCATTGATAGATACACTGAAGTTCAGCAGAAACACCCAGGAATAATTTTGAAAAACTGATTTTATTTTTGCCGCTTGAAAAACTTGACCGCAAAATGTCAAATGAACCTCATTGCTGTGAATCCAAGAATTGTTTGGGATCAAGGTATAACGGATGGTCATTGAATTGCATATTTTGTCACAAAAAAATATATGTTGAATGCCTGCGCAATCGAGATGCACAACGAACAAAGGGAATGTTGATCAAATTCGGATTGATGGAAAAAATCACAGAGGAAAATGGTACAATCAGCTGGAATATTCAGAATGACACGAACAAACTATCCGAATTCTATTCAACATTCAACGTCGATTCACCGTTTGGATTGACATGTGAGTTCTGCAAATTAAAATTCTCACAGCAACTACCAATAGAGAATGAGAACAGAAATTCACACCAATCGGCCGAAACGAGCAAAAACCAACAAAAGAATATTGAAACACCACAAATATCACCTGTGAACGGTGTATATGCCATTCACGTATCACGAATGCCAAAAGAAACCACAACCGATGATGTTGCTGCTCTTATCATAGGTAATTTGGACGCCAATAATGATTCTTTTCTTGTTGAAAAATTACCCAACAAACGATACAAAGGAAATGCAAGAAGTTTTTCATCATTTAAAATTTCAACCTTGTTTCGTACGATTTGTGAAAAAATTATCACAATGGACGGATGGAATTCAAACTGCATTTTAAAACAATTCAATCATCCATCGAAAATGCAAAAACCAGTCTTACCAGTTGAAACCGATGCCATGAAAAAGAAGAGACAAAATCCGAAGCCACAACAAAATGTGCAGCAACAAGTCAATTCTAATCGGAATCATCGCAACAACAACAACTATAACAACAGAAATATCTATGAGACACATCAAAACAATCACATCGATCGAAGGAGACTTGTCAATGGGAATGGGCGTCGTCGTCATGAATATCGTCCACAATACCGAGAGAGGCAGATACCGGTCAATAAT